TTTTCGTACACGCAGGTAAGTTGGCTTTTCGCGTTAGCAACTAATTCTGCTCACTTAATATTTTATTTAGACCAACTATTTGTTAAGAGTTTGCTATTGTTACGCTTGCCGCAGTTGTGGCTACGGGCCGCTTCTTGAATTTTTTTATCCTCCTATACTATATAAAAAGTATTGTAAATTAACGAGAGAAGAAACTAGCCTTTTAATCCCAACTTGACAAGTAACTTAGCTAGAGCATTAAATTCCAGCAAAATAAAGCAACGTTATGCAGCCACGAGTGTAATGCAGAATGTTGCCGAAGTAGTCCCGCGATTCCTAGACTAAGTCAGTTAAAATCGCCCTGGTTTAAGTCTAAGCCGATGTTTTTCTCTGCAGTCAGCAAGAGACACCGTATCCCCCTGCCGCCCCCAATATACACAGAGAAAGAGTAATAATGGGCTCTCCTATTTCCATAAAGTACCTTCACGTTTTTCCTAAATTTAGTAAGTGGGCTCTTTTTGTAACGAGAATAAGAAAAGTAATAAATGCTGAGCCACTTCATTTACCTCTTCTTTTTCAAATTATTACTTCACCGTAGTTATTCATTGCCTTACCATTTGATAGAGAAGTGCGTTTTTTGAGTTCCTCACTTAAAGCTGTATTTTCCCCATCCATCTGTTTGGCAAACCCTATGTTTTTTTTTTTTTCTTACATATTTTTATCTATTGTTCATGAAAGTAACAAAAAAAAAAAATCCTGTAAGTGTGAACAACGTTATAACAGTAAATAGGTTTCTGGTAAAAATAAAAATCCTGTCACATTTCTGCTAATATCTCATCAGAAAGTGAAGGAAAAAATGAAAAATTTATGATACAGAGTTTGAACACCCAAAAACAAAACGACATTGATAACAAATCATGCACACAAAATAAAAGTTTCGCACAACTCTACAGAGGTCAGTTCGATAACCTTCGGCTGCTTTGTAAGACACAGTGGCATTGAGCCAAAACCGTTGGAGTTTTTCCAGGTTTTTTGTTTGCAGAAATTTCCACGCCAAATTAGGCATGAATCCGCCTATACATGGGAGATCTTTGCGAACAAAAAAACCTTCTGCAAAAGCTCCAACTGTTCGTGGCTCAAAGCCGCTGCGTTACACGGAGGCACCCGGAGGCTATCTAACCGGCCTCTGTAAAAATGTGCTAGACTTCTGTGTCACATGTTTACGTAATGTATTGTTAATAACGTGCTGTTTACTATTGGTTTACTCTCTATCTTCGAAGTTTTTCCTTTCTGTTTCTTTTTTCGCTGAGTTTTTGGCGGAAATTTGACAG